CCCCCCCCCCCCCCCCCCCCCTACCACTCCAATACACCTTTATGGAGATAATCAGACTTTTAGAATCATTAAAATTTATATTGCGGTTGTCTAAATATGGGTTCAAATATGCGCTTTGTGTTCTATTTAGTTTGATCGTTTATTCTTGTCCGTTTAGAGAATTGGCTTTGGAGAGACGGAAGAGACCTCGGAATTCTCCTCACCAACCTTCTCTTCAGTTCAGAGCCCTTCAAGCGACCATGTGGATCTCGATCTTCTGGAATCCGATCGACTTCTCTCCCAAGTTGAAGCTCGTGACCTGGTGGAATTCGGCATAATTCCCGAATTTGTGGGTCGTTTTCCTATTATCACTGCCTTCCATTCTCTCAGCGAGGAGATGCTAACTCGAATCCTCACTGAGCCACGCAACGCTCTTCTTACGCAATATAAACTGTTATTTAATATTGACAAGGTAACTAATTATATTTTTTAATAACACTTTTAAGTCACCTTGATTTGGAAAAAATATTTCTCTTGTATTTAGGAAAACTAACCCGTTTTAGGGTAATCGAATAGACGGAGACATAGTTTGTATTTCGTAATAGTATTTCTATTGCACTTGATGTTTCTCTTGAATCCTATTCAATGTTTGGCCTGAATTCGAAAATTTCCACGTCGATATTGTTTTATTCAGGTTCTTTCTAATAATTGTCTCCATAGGCTCCTGTTTCAATATTCATTCAAGTTTTGCTCCAGAAGGTGGCCTGAATCCACCTTGTTCGTTGCTATAATAGTATGAGGTTGCTTAATATATACTAGAGCCTGGACAACGAACTGTTACCCGTCTAACTTCCGGTTGCTCTATTACACATCAAGGTAGAAAGTAGGCGAGATTTTGCCGATCGGGCTTACTAGAAGGACCATGAACAACACCGAAAGAAACAGAGAGAGTATATCATCTGTGTATTTTGATGTTTCTTTTTCGACGTAATTAGGCCGTTCATGGAAGAGGGTAGGCATTTACATAAGGGCATAAGAGAAAGTTTGATAATAATCGCTAAATTCGTGGAATAAAGTTCAGTACAGATGACGACATTATACCCTACTAAAATTTCTTTCAAGTAGCATACATCCAAATTTTCATAACCAAAATAAAAATGCCTAAATTCTGCTTCTTGGTAAAGTGACCTTGGTGTAAAACTTATCAAGTCTCTCTTCTTTATCAATGCGCGTGAATATTTTTGTCTTCCTCTGTTGGTTGCGTATTTGAACCTTTATTTCTTTCTTGCAGTGCACCTTAACAGTAACAGGGGATGCGCTACGAGCCATAGCGCGCAGAGCCATGGTGACAAAAACCGGAGCTCGTGGCCTTCGTGCCATCATGGTTAGTTTCTCTCTCCCCACCCTCTCCCCCTTCCCCCTCCCCGCCCAACTTGCCTTTTCTCTGCCGTATTTTGTCATATACTTTAACAAAATTTCATTTTTCCGCTATAGGAGAGCGTTCTACTGCAACCGAGATACGATGTTCCAGGTGCAGGAATTGTCGAGGTGATTATCGATGAGGACGTTATAATGGGTCGAGCAGGACCGAGATACATTCACGCAGAAGATGTGGACAGGGAGATTGAAAGAATGGAGAGAGGCAGTGGGATGGGAGAAAAGAGGTCGGGCCACTCGGTTGCGTCGTTCAGGGTATGAAATGTCGGACGGGAGGCTTTTATATCGCCTTTAGCACCTTGACCTGTGTTAGATCTTCCTTCTCACTGGATATATATATATAAATTCATATTTGCTCTATGGGAGCTATAGTAATTCATCCGCTGGCTTCGCATATTCACCGGTTCCTTCATTCTCTCACTGTCCTCTTCCCTTGTCTCTCCTTCTCTGTAATTCTTGGCACAATAATCAGTTTTTTTTTGTTTTTACTGTTAGAGCGATCTTTTAATTGGTCTTTCGCTTTCTATCATAACTCATTGAGAAAATCCTATCGGATAGGGAAGTGGATGTGAAATAGGGCTTCGTAACTATTAAGTGAGATTGGGTTAGCTAAGGGTACATCCTCAATTTTTCAGTTGGCAACTTCGTAATATGAAGGCCACTTCAATCTCCCTTTTGAGCAATCATTCAAGCATGAGAGGCTGTACCGAAAATAAAACTTCCAAGTGTGGGAGGCATCAGAGAGGGGGGGGGGGTGTGGGGTGTGGGGTTATCTAGATGGTCTTGCACCTTGTGCCGCTTTATTGCCGATCAGTAGGCATTTCTGCCAAGTCCGAATGGTGTGATCAAATTTAATCGGTACACGCTCAGTGATGTGGAAGACCCAAAAGGAGTGGTAGATGTCAAGTTTCCTATAACAGCGATGGCAGAATACCTTCAGTCTACTACATCAAAGTGGCTATGGCAACAGCCACATTGGATGTGGGAACACTTTACAAAAATTAAATTTCCGTTACGTCAGATCGTTCTCATTCCTATTTAATGCGGCTATTTGTACAATCTGCAAACCAGTTCAGGCCTGTAATTCAAGTTTCTCTACTCTGCTTAAACTTTGGACGAATAATTTTGTTGATGCATCGATCGGCGACCATATACTGACCTACACATTGTTGCAGATTTTGAGTTTTTTTAATAATGACAATACTTAGGAATCAGTTTTCATTTTGTGATAATTCCGTAGTCTAAGCGTATTTACGTATGGTTGAATTCCAAGACAAAATGGATTTATAAGTCACCTAGTGTCAAACCGGGTACCTAATGAAAATGCCTTAGCTGAAATTAAGGAAAAATATGGTGATCTGCAATGGAAAATTTGAAATTGATGCAATGAAATATTTGACTCAAGTCGTAGTAACTAAAAGCTGTTGCCGTTGTAGTAAGCAGACGATACCTTGAGCAGTCTCTATTATCGGTATTAAAGTGATTTTGTAGAAGTGCCAATTGTAACACGTTTTAACTCCTACTCAGAATTGGATGAGTAAGTATTTTGTCTACACGATAATATTGGAATGGGGAGGGGGGTGTGTGATAGACTTACCTCCACGTGGTGCACCCTGGGTAAAGTATACTCATACATACCTCCACGTGGTGCACCCTGGGTAAAGTATACTCATACAGCAAAAAAGTCTATAAACCGGCAGTTGACTTCTGAGTTCAAGCTAACATGACCACACTGTAGGTCATATTCGACCACTTTCACAGTACTCACCTCACCTTTCATCTACCTTTGTGTCTGTCTCTTTTACATCTTCAAAACACTTCTGTTCCCCCTCCCCTCTCGAATTTTTTCAATTTGATGTTCCTCTCCCTCTGTGAAGCCTGAAGTCAACTAAAGTGCTAATGATAACTATCATTAAGCCTGCCATTTGATATAAATAAATAAATAAATATTGGAACGGTGTGAATTAAAATAGAATGACTACATGGCCGTCAGCTCAGTTATGGAATTTCCCAAGACCTTGAGGTAAAAATCAAATGGTAGACATGAATAGAAACTTGAGAATGCACACTTCGTTTATCGTAGAATCATATAGCTAATAGAAAGAGAATCATTCAATTGTCTTAATTGGATGTAATAGGCAATGAGTAATTCGAATGCCATCAACATCAATCACCATTCTATGAGATTTATTTTTACTACAGAATATCGGTAATTAATTTTTTTGTGTCGACAGTGGAAGCAGAATATGAATACTTCATAAAGATTTCTCACGAAGTCCAAACTCAAATACTTACATTAGTAAGACAGGGTGTGCGATAGACTTACCTCCACATGGTGCACCCTGGGCAACGTATACCCATACGGCAAAAGTCAATGAACTGGCAGTTGACTTCGCACTTCAAACTACTATGATCCCACTGTATGTCATAATTGACTACTTTCACAGTACTCACATCACCTTTTGTCTACTTTTACTACCTTCGTCTTTGAAACACTCTTCTGTTCCTCCCTCCCCCCACCCTCTCGACTTTTTTTCACTTTGATGTTCCTTCCCTCCGTGAAGCTTGAAGTCAACTAAAGGGCTAATGATAACCACCAAAACGCCTGCCATTTGATATAAATAAACATTAGTAAGACACTGACTACCACTAATGGCTACTGGCTATTTAAGAAGAAGTAGCAAACAAATTTTGCCTACCCTTCAGAAAGCCCTTCCTTAGGTTGGAAATATAGACAGACCATGAACTAATAGAGCGGTATATTTAGCTAAGTGACATTTATCCCACGGCAAAAAAGTGACCCTCCATATTGGGTTACAAATACCTCCCCACATATTTGCGGAAAGTCGAAATGTCAGGTGCGTTTATTTGATTTTTAATAAAATCAACACACAAGATTTTGGGGGAAATTTCTTTCGCATTTCTATTGCTATTTTATATAGGGCGAATAGCAAGCAGAGATATTACAGACAACGATGGCTTAGTTAGGCTGAACTTATTACTTTACCGATAAAGGGAGTAATGACCATGTCAGAGGATTGCAGCCTGGGAGTTTTTTTGATTTGACAATTGACCTTGAGTGGACAGGTCTTTTCATCCATATCCTATTCGCAATGGTAAAGGAGCAAGCGGATGAATACTATTCCATATACCATATTTCGAACAAAAAGCATCAGTAAATAAACGTTGAACATTGTAGAAAAGGAATTTGTTGCAATCCCGAGGGGGGGGGGGGACTAGGGAAATCTGAATTTTGGAGCACAGACTATCCAGTTGGGGAATATTGCATAAAGCAAAGGCGAAAATTTATTTAATTATTTATATCAAATGGCAGGCGCTTTGATGGTTATCATTAGCTCTTTAGTTGGCCTCAGGCTTCACAGAGGGGAGGAGGAACATCAAAGTGACAAAATGTCGAGAGGGGGGGGGGACAGAAGAGCGTTTCAAAGACGAAGGTAGAAAAAAGGTGAGATGAGTACTTTGAAAGTAATCGAATATGACATACAGTGGGCGGATGATAGTTTGAAGTCAGAAGTCAACTGTCGGTTAATAGACCTTTTAGCCGTATGAGTATACGTTGTCCAAGGTGCCCCACGAGGTAAGTCTATCGCACACCCCGCGTAGTCAAAAATTAAATGAATTAAAACTCCTTTATACCGTTAGTTCCAGCTTCTTCTAGACCCACTTCTCCTTATCATTTCTTAGACTTCATGCTAATCGATATTATTGACTTTTCACAATTAAAAGCTCTCACTTTTCTATTACCATGTGATAAAATAATAATAGAAAAATAATAGACTTACCTGGATGTTTTGTTAATAACATTATGANGTGTCCTGTCTCATATTGCAGTCTGTTGTAAGCTAGTGCGTTAATGGATCGTAGCGACAAAAATTCAACATACTGACACTAAAACAGGATATGGAAAATTAATTAATAAAAACATTAACATGGAAAAACTAATTCCATGGTTAAAACTTTCGTATGCAAAGTCAGATGTCACGGGTACAATGTTAATCTGCTCCCGTCAATCACATTAATTATGTTCACCTATTAAAGTTTTTGCCAGAATTCAAATTCAATGAAGTAGGTGGTCAATAACGATATATACCATCCGATTTTGAGCATTGAAAAGAGCTCAACGGAATGCACTTTTAATTTTTTCATAATAGAGAAACGACCTTTGATTCATTCTCAAGCTTCATTGGGTGCGGGTTAATTAAATCAATGCGACCATGTCGAACCATTGTTGATTAGCACTTTCCGATACACAACATAGTTTTCGTTGATTAAGATGCAATGTCTTATCTAACATTTTGAGAATTTATAACGTTTATAAAATTATATTAATTGAAAAAATTTATCATTTAATTTAATTAGATATCTGTACTGACTTATTTCTTTAAACTGTTTATCTCTTGTTACGAATAAGAAGGGGTTCTTATAATTCCCATGTATGCAAAGCCAAAAGATATTTTCACTTGATATATTACCGAACAAAGCATTCAGTTGCCTTTCAAGCTGAATTACCAAATATGGAATTGAAGTTACATTTGATTAGAAATGACAGCTTTGGCACACACAGTCCGCAGAAGGAAAAAAATTAAAATTATATGTTTGCTCTTCCTAGATATTACTTATTGAGGTAAGTAAATACTAAATTCGTTAAACTTTGCAGAAGCATCAGTTACTAGAAAACCTTTAAATTCGACTCTTGTTGGAAACAGTGGTAGAGCAGGTCAGAATGAAAAATATCACGAGTCTCTCTACCAATCATTTTTTTATAAAAGGGGTGTGCGATAGACTTACCTCCACGTGATGCACCCTGGGCAACGTATACCCATACGGCAAACAAGTCTATCACTCGGCGTTTGACTTCTGACTTCAAACTACCACGACCCCCCCTGGTTGTCATATTCGACCCCTTCCACAGTAATCACCTTACCTATTTCTCTACCTTTATGTCTGTCTGCCTCTTTTACATCTGTGAATCGCTCTTCTGTTCCCCACCCCTCGACTTTCTGCTACTTTGATGAACCTTCCCTCTGTGAAGCCCGAAGTCAGCTAAATGACTAATGATATTTATCAAAACGCCTGCCATTTGAAATAAATAAATATTTTTCATAAAATGAGTAGGAACAGGACACTGAATTTTTTCATAAAATTCAAAATGTAAGCAAATATTTTCCCCTAGTTTGATTCTTCAGTTTAAACATTGTAAATTTTAAAAGCCGATTCGAATTCTGACTCAGACCCGTTACATACTCAATATTATTTCAGTCTGTCCTGAACTAAGTCAATCAAACTCCTATAGATCGTCTTAGAATGCTCGAATAGAGAATATAAAAGATTTCCATGGAATCTTTTAAGTCTAAATGCCAATAGCAATAACCAATATTCATACAGTATAGAGTGGATAGCTCATAAGATTACTAATACTTAGCAATAAATCCTTTCCTCAGTATACCTTTTGTGTTTTCGCAATTTGCATGTAGACTGACGTGGTATTTTTGCAAAAGAATTATTCTAGAGTATTATTGTAGCCGTCTGCAGGTAGTGAACTTTAAAAGGTTTGCAATAGTTTAGTTAGTTACAATGCACTTAGTTGCAGTGCTTGCAAACGGATAGCATAGCCATTACGATTATACAGGAATAAAACTATAATTTTTACAATTTTAGACATGAAATTGACTAAAGCAAGCAATTTAAGTCCCTTTAAATGTTAATTAACCCATTTTGGTTGAGTGTCACCTAGTTCTACTGCTATTAAGCATTTGAGCATATGCTTTTTCAAACAAGTAAATATTCCACATTAACCAAACTTCGCATATCTGATGTTTAAAAAAATTGTCACCTACATACAACTTATCGACTATATGATAACCACAAATGCTATCAGAGATTCAAGGAACGAGGATGAATGGAATTAAAATGATAGCTAAGCTTGAAATTGTTGGATATTCGTGGGAGAAATTCAGCACAGATTGACTAAAACTGCAATAGTTTAAAAGGTGTTTATGATCTTAAATGAACAATCTCTGGATCAACCATTACTACTAAGAAGCTATATATTCTCAATTTAGTCAAGGCTTGCCTTTTAGTATGCTGCCGTACGAATTGGAAATATCGATTATTTCATGATTGTTCAAACCCTATACATAAAGAAAAAAATAGCCTCTTGAAATATTGATTATCCAATTTTTATTAATAAAGATCAGTCTCTGAGAGAACCTTCAGTCGAAACTTGATGTGTTTTCAATTCCAAAACATTTTATCCCATTCGTAAACTAAATAATTTGGAATAAGTGCTAGACTGCAACGCATTTTTTTTCAAATAACCCCTTTTAAAAGAAGTCCTTGCAAGGATAGATTTTACTTTTGAAGCAAAAATAACGACATATCACCTAAGAAGAACGGGTTGTGCGCTAAGCACCATTCTTTGGATTTTAAAACTCGCCAACATATTTACACACTTACCAAAAAGGAATTTCAATATCTGATGAAAAAGTACCGGTAAACCTGTGTTCATATTAGTGAGAAGGGCATTAAGTTAGTTAAAAATAATTAATTTCCATTTCTTGCAATTAACGACATGCTGCTTAATCAGGGATAAGTAATATATTTCTTCATTCTAAAATAGAGGAGGTAATCAATATTAATGTGTATGCCTGAGCAAACGAATCGGTTTTCATTATGTACAAGAAAGGAGACGAGAGGATTTGGTGGAAATAGAAGAGGCAAATAAATTGTATCCTACGTCACATTGAATATCAAAATGCTACAGGTGATAGTTGGGAGGGCAGGAGCTGGGGTCGAATTCCAGCAAAGTGGTCAGAGCGTCTAGGAGAATGAGACATCAATGGGGTGCCTCGTTGTTGGTGTTGAACTGAATTATTGATTAACATGGGAGTAGCTGGTACCTGAAGCGTCTGGGACTGAGTCAGTGGATCCTGGAGGTTGTGCTGAGATGATGTCATGATGTCATCTTCCACTGCGGCAGAAGTTCGAGCACTTTCATTGCCATTAGCGGGTGGAAGGAAGAAGACAGAAGATGAAGGGGATATTGAGTGAGGTCGATGGAGATTTCCTGAAGACCGATTGCACTTCCGTGCAGCTGGACCCTTTCGAGAGACAGTGCGATGCATTGGTTGCTGTGTGGTAGTTTCATCGATATTCCTCCGAGACCATCTGAGGGGATTCAACAGGGAGGAGATACACTTGGAAGCGTTCAAACTCTGAGTGCTGGAGGCCGAGAGTTTTTGCTCAACAGCGTTAAGCTCATTCATACTTGATGTTCGGCCTACATCTGCCCTTCCTGAAATGTATGGAAGTAATTGGACAAGTGGCCATTTTGCTTGTTCTTTAAATATATATATATATATATATATATATATGATAATTACTGAAAATGGATTTCGAAGAATATTTGTCATAATTTTCATTCAAATAAGACAAGTTACCAGAAATACTAAAATTAAACCAAGTTTACGGCTGTTATCTGTTGGCCAAAATTAAACCGGAAACCTTCCCACATTTTTGTTCCACAAAAAGTCCATCTGTAATTAACTAAAGCACTTAACAAACTTACATTGTTTTCGTTTGATATAATTGAATCCATAGAAGTTAAAATGACGAACAATGCTACTATCTGACTTTTTTAATTTGGCTTGGGTGAGTTTGCGACAAACGCTGTAAGGTAAGTGTATGCTTAACCAGTTTAATTAATCAAAATTTTGGTTATCTACCCACTATTTAATTCTTTCAATTTCAAGTACTCGTTAGTACAAACAATGTTTCAACTCCTATAATACACAGCGAAATTCCATGTGTGAATAGCGAAACCTGTTGTAATTGTTTCAGATCTTTTCGCGGTTTCTCATGAAAATTGAAATCTATGAGAAAGTAATAAAATCCACACTGTCCTTATACCGCAATTTGAACTCTATGAGAGTGCATACTTTATCGATTTGTGTGCTTTCTCACGAAAAAAGGTATTACCCGGGCCATCATTTTATTGAGAAGTCAACGTAGGTAAAAAGATTTTACCTGAAACAAAGCCGAGGTCCCCAACACTAGATCGGAATTGATCTGTTGGGATAAGGGAAACCTGACTACAACTGAGACTGCCCAATCGATTTGCGATATGCGCTTGGATTTGAGATACGGAACGAGCCCGTGCGATTGCCGGAAGTCTAGCGTACTGTCGAGCACTCTCTCGCACTCCTGCTCCTGAGTAGAGATTGCTTTCTCTTGCGTACTTGTGCCGAACCATCTCTGCCATACTTCCATCCGTCAATGTACCGTCTTCATTCGCGGCCACGACGTCATCTACAGATAATTGATAGTTCATGGCGCAGGCTGCTAATCGCTGACGATAGGTCTGCAACAATCTTGGACCCATCTTTTGAATGTGAACAAGTTTGGTAATTAATCACTGGATAAAGAAAGCACTTAATTTTGATGTTCAAATGGACACAATTTATATCGTTCCCAACAATACGTTAAACCATATTATGTTGTAGATTTCCATTGAAAATGTTCAAACTTGAGGATTTGATGCACTTCCCTGGAGGAAATTATTAGGAAGCCCATACTTCCGTTGTTCTATCCTTCCATCTTTATTACTGATAATAGTGCTACCCAATGTAAAATTTTGTATGCTTTTCAGAGATTACATTTAAATTTACAGTGCCTACCAGATTCAATATTTAATCACTAGCAGTAACTCTGTTCTCTTAAAGGGGGGAGCGAAACTGCTCAGTATTTTAAATTTCATCCGCTTCCGACACCAGGCTAATTAACTCGAATTTTAAGCGTCTAATTGAGAAAATTAAAGAATGAATGGAAGCAAGAGCGATCAATATCTATTGTTCGTCAAAACTGGACTGAAATCGGCATCCTATTGAATGAACTGATCATGATATGGGTTCGACAGAAATCAATTCCCGAATAACGGAATTCCATCCACTGCTTCCCCTCCCCCCTCTGACTAAATTAGTTTCTCTATTTCATCTCATCTACTTTTTTTTCAAATATTATGTGATCATTTTAATTGATTAACTGAAGTTAACAAGGAGTACAAGCCTTACAAGGATTATCCGAAGCAAGGAACACCAAATTCGAAGTGATTCCTCATTCGCGGCGCAGAATGCCCTCACCATATGTGGATCCATTTTCACAACCGAATGGGGCTGAAAAATGCAAAAACATATCCAAAGTAGTGCAATATCTTCAGCTTAAGCACTGCTCCTATTCCCATCAAGTCGGAATAGGAAAAAAACTGATTAAGATAAATTTCGTGCTCTTTTGGCAACAAAGACCTAAATTATTTTAAGTTATCCAAATCCATTAGTTAGGGTGTTTTTGATGAAATTCCATATTTTCAATTAAGAAGAAACTAAATTTTCTAGTTTGACAGAAAACTGTCAGAGACGGCTTCAACTTTGCTACTTAAAGGTTAAGAGAAGATTATTTGTTGTACTAAGTTTGAAGGTAAAGATGATAACCCAGCGCGCTACGTGAAAAAACTAATTTAAATTATTCATTGTGAATATTCGCTTATTTATGTATTTTTGCGTGTACTTTGAGCCCTCCCATTTTGCAGTAAAAACATGATAAAATGATTTTCCAATTCAAAGTCCGAAGATTGACTTCCATCAGTGCTCATCAAGTGACCTAGACGACCAATGGCATCGTGGAACTGCGATCGAAAGGTGAGATACGAGTGCACGTGATTTTCATGACAGTATCTCTTCAAGCCAAATGGCAGCGATTTTCCAATATACCAGCATCTTTAATCTACACAAGGTTATTATTAAAAATGAGCTTAAAAAAGTACCTTGAAAGAACAGTGAAGATGTAAATAACTCTCACCATTTCTGAGTTCCGTATCTATTACTAGTTTAGTTATTTCACAGATTAAAAGGTGTTTAGATGATAAATTTTCTCCGTAATGATTTCAGTGCACTCAAAAGGCGTGTTAAATAAGCTGGATTACTTTATCCCAGAAAAAGTTTAATTAGCAGTTTATCAGTGACTATTTATAAAAGTCATATATTTGTTTAAATGTGTTCAATAACAACGTCATTATTGTGGCATAATTTTGGCGAAAAAGTCTACTTTTAAAACATTTATATGCTTCATTGAGTTTTAGCGATTTGTGACCATTTTTTGAAAGCCAATTGACTCACAACAGTAATCACCATAAAGTTAACAAAAACACACCCATTTCTCAAACGAAAAATAATGGTCCAAAGTGTTTAACAAATGGAGACGATTCTGAAATTAACTAGAAGCTATTTTTCTTAAAAAAAAATAGAAGTCGTTTTTAGCAAAAATTTTCATTGGCAAAAAAACCATTGTAAACAGCGAAATAGAAGCTGACGTGGAGACGTGAAGCGTAGAAATGTGATGAAAAGCTACTAGTAGTCACACCGCTGGTTGCGTAACGTCGATTGTGAGGGCTTGTTGACGCCCAAATGAGTCAGCATGCACAGCGAGCATAAAATTAAGCTGAGGTTACTCCATCAAAAACCAATCTACATACTGTGCTTAGTTATGGGCATAGCCTCAAAAAAAAACGTTAACGCCTACTCACGAATTGGTCGTACACAACTTTAGGGTGGTTTAGCAAATAGATGTTGGCCTGTGTAATACCATTTGCATTGGATGCGCGCTAAAATCGATCAAGCTTCACATACTTTATGCGCCGTAAGAAAATTAGGCATTGAAATAACGAAATATGGAATTAATATATCGGGATGACACTGTTTCTGTATGTGGTCAGTACTTCTTATTGATTAATGCGAATGCGCATATATTATTTAGAAGATGAAATTGAACCATTGTACGGCCAAACTCACATACTCGGATGTCCAAATTAATATAATTTACAAATCCAAGCAGAGGTTGAGTAGGTTTTCTCTCTGCGACTACCAGAGAAGGGCTGATTTTGACATTAGAGGAGAAATGTTTCACTAGAACTCAGGAAGAGTGCTTAAGGCTCACCAAGTGGAGAAATATTTTGTGGGAAACGTAGAATACCCCAACATTAAAAGCTAAGTTGTGGCTATTGAATCTTCTACGAATTGCCTTATGGCTTTAAAATATTGAACGCAAAAAGTGCAATGGCGAAAAGTTAACAATAAATTGGATTAAAATTAGAAAACAGCGATTGATACTTCAAGGATCGTGAATAAACCATAAATCGAACAGAGAGAATGTTACCAAATAGAAGGCGATTTGACAAAGACGAATTGAAGGGTGAGCATGGTGGATTTCTGTTAAATAAGAACTCTCAAAGGGTGCAAAGGCTTTCTGTGAACGGAAATTGTTTGTACTTCATAAGTTTCGAAGTCTCTGAACTTAAAGTATCCTAAAATAGTACACACTTTCAGAACACAGTCAAGCTGAGAATAAAGTTTTGGGGAAAGGAAATGCTTCAAATGTTAACTTTTTACTGACATACAGTAAACACTCATATAACAGAAAGCGCCAACTGAAAGTTCTATTTTCTTCAAGTAAATGCATTGAAATGCCTTAAACTCCACTGACGAGAATTGAGTATTGAATTTGCGATTTGAAGGAAGGAATGTAGACCTTATCCTTTTCATAATCGAGTTCTTTTACATTTTGTATGCTTTTATGCCCCCTTCCCCTCACTTATCACTTTTAACGTGCACGATGGGCCAAATAAATAGATCTCTAGAAATGCTTGAGATCTTGAGGTTGATTAACGCTACTTTTTTCTGAAATCACACACTCTCGTACTGAATATTAAGTACCCATTAAGGCGGGATAACTAGAGTATGAATGATCACAAGGCCATCTGATCAGCTCTAGTGGACACATAATAATATGACATGTTCCAGACAAGACTAACATTCTCTAGGGTCTTGTGAGCATCTATAGGTAATGTGGCATGTACCACGTAAGTAAAACTGCAGAGAATCTCTTCGGCCTAACAGGAAACAGTGGTTGGCTGTACAAACAACAGATCTAAATAAATACTATTTCCATGGTTCCTTTACGCCGAGTATCGAAGTGCCAATTTCAGTGGGCTCTTCCACAACGCTAAATTATTGATGATGAAATTCAAATTCAAAATTGAAATGAAAGTGAGATTTATGCTAAAGCCTTTGCAGATTCGTTTAAATAACTCGGTGATAAATTTTATCAAATATTTTTAGAAACACTCTTTGTGATAGGAAAATATAATTTTCATCTTTAATTTTAAACTATGTTGGATTTCTTGGCAAAATAGAACAAAATACCACAAAACAAGGCAATGAGGTCTTAAAACCATGTGGAAAATACTTTTTATCCATTTTGGAATAATAAAATGCTGAATATTTTTTATACCTTTTAATTTGACATCCAAATTGTCTTTAACATTCTGATAGTAATTGAAAATCGATTAATTATGAAAAAATGAGTGTTAGGCACTTCGTCAAGGAAATTAGTCATCTCAATTATATTCACAACGCTTTTTAATCTTCTACTTTTTTCTTCAGGTTCTGGAAGAGAAGGGATCAATTTCTACCGCTCATATCAATTTCATTCGGAAATCAGTAACTGAATCGTAAGTGAATAAGCCCATGGTCATTTAATGACACCAAAACGTTGCTAATTCGCATTCATTATGACGCTTCGTAATCCAACTCGAATATTTTACCTTGAAGCGTTTTCTCACACTCCAGGTATCTGATACAATTCATTTAATAAAAATTTGCTGGTCAATATACAATAACTACCGTGACGATAGACGCGCATTAGAGTATATTGAGAATGCATCTTATCAGGCAAAGTAGGAAGTAAACCGAAATCTTATAATTCAATCTGAACTCCACACTAATATAAGAATACTGTTTATAATAACGTTTTTACATTATATATTTGTTTCGGCATCTTCGCAATTCTACAGCGAAAAGGTGATGAAATTTCTTTGCCATTAATGAGCAAACACGCAGAACAATCAACAAATCAATTTTTAAGAACTAAGGAATTTCATTAGTTCCTTTCTGAAAATGAAAATATTGGCAATTTTTTTCCATTTTTTCGAAATGCAAATATATACACACACGCCTTTCTCTTCAAAATTTAGCTTTTAGCTATTGTTTTACACTAACTCAAGAATCCCTTTTCGTTTTGTTCCACAAGGACTGGGAATAGCAGTTGGAAGCGCCTTTTAATACACAACGAACTCAAAGTTATGCAATTTTGTTCGGTGCATTTTTTCGCTCATTTCTTTTTAGTAAAACTCAATTATGGGATCATAAGACAAATATATACGATATTAAATTGCGCCTTCCAAATATTAAAGCCGCTATAAGCAAAAAGAATCTCACTGGAATGATAATTATTACGATTATCCTAAAGAAATTATTTAAAAAATATATATAA